ACTAACTAACTAACTAACTAACTAACTAACTAACTAACTAACTAACTAACTAACTAACTAACTAACTAACTAACTAACTAACTAACTAACTAACTAACTAACTAACTAACTAACTAACTACTAACTAACTAACTAACTAACTACTACTAACTAACTAACTAACCAACTAACTAACTAACTAACCAACTAACTAACTAACTAACTAACTAACTAACTACTAACTAACTAACTAACTAACTAACTAACTAACTAACTACCTAACTACCTAACTACCTAACTAACTATCTACCGAGTCGCTGCTGTAAAAACGCCAAAATATCTTTAAAACTCATTTCTTCGAATACACTGGAGGTAATTTCGACCAAAATTAATCCATAAATAGAAGAAATGTTGTAAAATTTACTAACCGAATGAAGATATTTTACAATGATGGAGGATATGCAAGGAAAATGATTTCCAACAACCGTTTTATTTTTTATTTCGATTTCGCCTAAACACAACCTTCAAATTACACAATAAAAGTCTTAAACAACAGAACTGCGATTGGCTCACAGAGAAAGAATCACACTTCTTAATATATAAGAAACATAACATACTTGGATTTCCCTGCAATTCGACAAAGAGTCAATGCATCCGAATAAGACAGTGATTTCCTCTAACGTCTAACCACCTGATTGACTTTAATTTGTCTTCCGTCACGGATGTACTCTTTGTAAGCGAGGGTGAAGATAATCGTCACTTTAGTGTCCTCTTTGTAAGCAAGAGAGAGGACACTTAATAAACACTTGTCTGCCTCTTCGTAACCTATGGGCTGACGATTGACTTCCTCGTAGGACAAGCACATGTTAAAATAGCTAGTCACCTGGACAGTTGGTGGCTAGGTGTAACACTATGTGGTAGATTAAATAGGGAGTTCGGGTCTGTCCGACCGAACTGCTGGGTTGTTAAAGTGTTTGTATTACATTTACATAGTTATTCTTACGAATATCTTTGTTTTGATTTGATTGCTCCCGATCCCTGCTAAGTGTATATGACGTACTCTGTTGTACAAAAATCCCTATAGGTAGGTATACTTGTCCTTATGGTCAGCATGCTTTCCTTGTTAGTAGTTAAACTTTTTGCTGAATAATTTTTGATCGATGTTAAAATGGTATAATTCTCCTTTAACAACCTTTTACAATTATACCTTTTTTACTCCTTATTTAGTTATATACCCCATTTATTGCTAAAGACCCAAATTAAATTTGTTTCTTTTTTTTTTTCTTCCTAAATGAAATCATTTCTAACACGTTTATATTTTCTTTAAATTGTTACAAAACGTGCATAATATTGTAAAAAATATACAAACATACATCTATTTTGTAATGACAGATGTTTCATAAGAAAATTTAATTTATACATGGTAGCTTTTTAACATTTGTTTAAATTTGTATATAGGACATATATTTATGAACGTACTTATGTAAAGTTTTCTATGAGTATGTATATAGATAAGTAGGTTGATAGGTAGGTAGGGTTAGGTTGATAGGTATAAGTATACTGTAGGTATACTCTCGCCAATCTAAGATTTCCTTAAATAGAAAAACTTTAACTAAAGTTAATACCTTTTTTATACAGAGAACTTTCACAAAAGTGAACACTTTTGTTTTTGAAAAATCTTTTACAAATGTAAACATATTTTCTAAAACTCTTTCTCTAATGTTTACATATTTTATATAGAAAAACTTTCACTATAGTGAAAACGTTTTCTATAGAAAATCTTTCTCGAATGTGAACTTCTATAGAAAATCTTTCTCGAATGTGAACTTATTTTCTATAGAAAATCTTTCCCGAATGTGAACACATTTTCTATACAAAATCTTTCTCGAATGTGAACACATTTTCTATAGAAAATTCTTCTCGAATGTGAACTTATTTTCTATGGAACATTATTCTCGAATCCGAACACATTTCCGATAGAAAATCTTTCTCGAATGTGAAGTCATTTTCTATAGAAAATTTTTCTCGAATGTGAATACATATTCTACAGATAATCTTTCCCGAATGTGAACACATTTTCTATAGAAAATGTTTCTCGATTGTTAATACATTTTCTACTGAAAATCTCTCTCAAATGTGAACATATATTCTATATGAAATCTTTCTCGAATGTGAACTTATTTTCCATAAAAATTTTTCTTGAAAGTGAATTATTCTCGAATATGAACACATTTTCTATAAAAAATCTTTCTAGAATGTGAACACATTTTCTATAGAGAATCTTTCGCGAATGTGAACACATTTTCTTTAGAAATTCTTTCTCAAATGTGAATTTATTTTCTATTGAAAATGTCTCTCGACTGTGAATACATTTTCTATAGAAAATTTTTCTCGAATGTGAAGTAATTTTCTATAGAAAATCTTTCTCGAATGTGAACACATTTTCTATAGAAAATCTTTCCCGAATGTGAACTTATTTTCTATGGAAAATTATTCCCGAATAGGAACACATTTCCGATAGAAAATCTTTCTCAAATGTGAAAACGTTTTCTAGAGAAAATCTCTCTCGAATATGAACTTATTTTCTATAGAAAATCTTTCTCGAATGTGAACACATTTTCTATAGAAAATTCTTCTCGAATGTGAACATATTTTCTATACAAAATCTTTCTCGAATGTGAACACATTTTCTATAGAAAATCATTCCCGAATGTGAACACATTTTCTATACAAAATCTTTCTCAAATGTGAACACGTTTTCTACAGAAAATCTTTCTTGAATATGAACACATTTTCTATAGAAAATCTTTCTGGAATGTGAACTTATTTTCTATGGAAATCTTTCTCTAATGTAAACACATGTTCTATAGAAAATCTTTCTCGAATGTGAACTTATTTTCTATGGAAAATCTTTCTCAAATGTGTACAGATTTTCTATAGAAAATCTTTCTAGAATGTACATACATTTTCTACAGATAATCTTTCCCGAATGTGAACACATTTTCTATAGAAAATGTTTTTCGATTGTAAATATATTTTCTACAGAAAATCTTTATCGAATGTGATCATATATTCTATATAAAATCTTTCTTGAAAGTGAACATATTTTCTATAGAAAATCTTTTTCATATATGAACACATTTCCTATAGAAAATCTTTCTCAAATATGAACACATTTTCTTTAGAAAATTATTCTCGAATATGAACACATTTTCCCCAATAAGCATTTTTGCTGGAATTCAAGTGTAAATCAAATTTAATTCCAGTCAAACATTCAAATTTCAAGTGTTGAAATACACTTGCATTACACTTTAATTCAATAGCATTCTCCAGTGAAAAGGAAACTTGAATTCAAGTCGAACATTATAATGTTATTACAGTTTAATTCAAGGCTTGAATAACATTACAACTCGAATAGAAAAAATGCTTAAATTCAATCTTTGAAATACAGTTTAATTCAAACCTTGAATTTTAATGTAATTCCTATCGAAAAAGTAATTACATTCAAGCACCTATAATATACATATATGTATATATATTTATGTACATATGTATTAGCTGTAGGTGTAACATATTACCACATATCTTAAAATTTAACAGACATAATTGAGACATTTATTAATAATAAATAAGAAGTGAATGAGGACAAAATTACATACATATTTATACATTTTACATGGCAAAAACTTGTATAAAACATAATTTACAGGATCACTCTGTTTCTTTAACATTACAAATAAATCAGCAAAGATCTTGAAAGAACGCATCAACCAGAAATATTTGCATTATTCTATATACATTCGTGCCTATATCAAAGAATATTTTCTACATTAATCCCGTTTTGGGTTGGTTTAATCTGCATACATACCTTTTATTGCAATTGGATTCATTGATTTTTATAAATTCTGACACCAACATTTGCTGTTCTATTTTGTTGCATTGAAGTAAAAATATGAACATTTTTATTATTAATATTTTTAATTTATTTTCAAGTTTGACAAGAAAATTTGGTTTGAAAACATTATTTGACTTTTACTTGAAAATAAAACTGGAATTAAAGTTGAATTATAATTAAATTTCAAGCACTTGAATTTATAATTTTTGAGTGCTTATTGGGTCTCGAATATGAAAATTATTCTCCAATGTTAACACATTTTCTATAGAAAATTTTTCTCGAATGTGAACTTATTTTTTATGGAAAATCTTTTTCGAAAGTGAACGCATTTCCTTCTTCAGAACAAATTATAAACACGCATTTACAAATATTTTATGATTTCATTTTTCCTTATAAGATAATTTATATACAATATTAAATAAATCCTTAATAACAGTTTAATAAGTTCAATAACTAATTGATTTAATCCTATTTGGTATTCAAAGTTTGTTTTGCTATATTTTACTATATGTGTAATTAAAGTGATTATTATATTTTGTTTGATTACGAGACAAAAAGAAAATATTTACAAAAAACCAAAAACTTAATAAACTATTATAGTTTATTTGCCTTATTAGAGTTAGTAAATAGTTAAATCCTTTTCAGAGTGATAAGAGAAAAAAGCTCAAATGAGAAAACTTTGTTTTCTAAGCTGTTTATGTGTATTTAAAGGCGAAAATGAACTTGGAAAGAGATAAATGTATTTAAAATACTTAAGTAAATACTTAGCATTATACTTACATTTTAACCCATAACTTCCTAATAAAAGTTTTAGATTTGTTTCCTTCAATCAATAAAAAAAAATCCCACACACACGCACAATTTGTTGCAAGTTTGCTTGCATTTTTTTATAGTTTTATTTTTCAATTTGTTTACAAATATTTAATGAATTTTTTATATAAATTATGATATTATTGGTATTATGGTTTTAGCTTTAGAGATAATATGTTCGAGTGGACTAGATAAAAAAAATAAAACAATTACAATTATTGGAGGGATTCTTAAATTGGGCAAATGTTTTGAAAAGAATAAATATAACAAAAATTAAAATCATTTAAATCTTAAACAAATTTTCTTTTACAATTTTTTTGTTGCTTTGTTTCTTTACTTTTTTTTTTGTTGATTTGTTAAAAGTTTCAGTAGAAAAAAAAGGATATTTGTTGGACGTTGTTCCTTAAATAATGTAAAAATGTGTAACAAGCAAAACAATATAAATGATTTAAAAACAAAAACAAATAAATAATAATAATAATTTTATGAAGACGTCATCAAATCGTTATTCAAGTGCGTTCAATACGTTAATTAATTTAAAACACTTGCACACGATGATTCTCACGATCGCAAACCAATATATTGCCATTCGACATAATAGCCACACCTTCAAGACCTTTGAATTCCGAATCGCCAGAACCCCAGGAACCGAAAGTTTTTAGGAAACTACCATCAGGATTGAAAATTTGTATGCGATTATTGCCAGAGTCGGCCACAAATATGTAACCTTGATCATCCACCGCAACGCCTCTGTTAAGAAGACAAATCAAATTTTCATTTAATATTTTCAGTTTAACTTTTTCCATTTAACATTATTTACCTGGGAAACTTAAATTGTCCATCGTCGGAACCTTCACCACCAAATGTTGATAAAACTTTGCCATTTACATCGAATATCTATGTTTGAGAAAAATCCCATAAAGAAAAACATTTAGATATGAGTTGAGATTATAAAATCTATTTTAATTTAATTTAACTACCAAAAAGATTGTTCATTATAAAACAAAGACGAAGACTACTTCAAAGCTGTACAACGTAATATTTAGTTTGTTAATTCAATTTTGTAGTTTTTCTTTGCTTTTGTATTTCTATATGTAGTATAGAAATACAAGTTAAGTTGAATATTTCGGCAAGTTAAGTTGAATATTTCTTACGTGACACATTAAAATAGAGGTCAGAGGTTCTATTTTGTATATTTTGTATCCGTCTGTCCGTCTGTCTGTCCGTCTGTCTGTCTGTCTGTCTGTCTGTCTGTCTGTCTGTCTGTCTGTCTGTCTGTCTGTCTGTCTATCTGTCTGTCTATCTGTCTGTCTGTCTGTCTGTCCGTCTGTCTGTCTGTCCGTCTGTCCGTCTATCCGTCTGTCCGTCTACCTGTCCTTCTGTTTTTTCTTTCTTAAACTGAAAGTCGTCCAAAATCATTGATCTTTATTCTCATAACTCTTCATCCAACAAGAATTAGGGCTTTAACAAAACAAGACCTAAAAACAAAAGAAGGGTATACCATATTTCTAATAACCCTGTTTAAAAATTCATAATTGTTTAATCTTCTTCTTTTCTATGCAATGTAAAGAAAAAGTTGAAAATTGCTTTGTAGCAATTTTTCAGAAGAATATAACATAACACCATTTTAAGTGAAAAATAAAAAAAAAATAATTCAGATTTGGGCGATATTTCCATCCTCCGTCAATATTAAAATAGTAATTTCTTTGACATTTGCACAAAAGCATTGTGAAACAGATACGATCAGACGAAAGACAGATCAATAATCATGACTATAGACTGGCCTACAGTCAAAACTATAGGCTGATTAACAGTAGAGACTATAGACTGATCTATAGTCAAGACTATAAACTGATCTATAGTCAAGGCTATAGACTGATCTATAGTCAAGGCTATAGACTGATCTATATTCAAGACCATAGACTGATCTGTAGGCAAGACTATAGTCAAGACTATAAGCTGATCTATAGTTAAGTCTATGAACTGATCTATGGTCAAGACTATAGATTGATCTAAAGTCAAGATTATAAACTGATCATCAGTCAAGATTATAGACTGATCAATTGTCAAGACTATAGTTTGACCTATAGTCAAGATTATAGACTGTTCTATAGTCAAGACTATAGACTGTTCTATAGTCAAGACTATAAACTGTTCTATAGTCAAGACTATAGACTGTTCTATAGTCAAGACTATAGACTGTTCTATAGTCAAGACTATAAACTGTTCTATAGTCAAGACTATAGACTGATTTATAGTCGTGACTATAAACAGATCTAAAGTCAAGTCTATGAACTGATCTATGGTCAAGACTATAGACTGATCTAAAGTCAAGATTATAGACTGATCAATAGTCAAGACTATAGACTGATCTATAGTCATGACTATAAACAGATCTAAAGTCAATGATTTTTTTTACAAACTTTTAGAAAATTCCTGGAAACAGTGTAATTAATTCTACTCTATTATACATAAGATTACACTACTCAAACACCTTTAATTCTACCTTCAATACAACATAATCACATCCTTTTCCCTAACAAAAAAAAAAAAACAATTATAAATGCAGAAACAAAAAATCAAAAAGAAAAAGATCAAAATTATACTATAAAACCAAATCACAGCCAAATTTCATCAATGCAAAAATGTCGTTATATAATTTTAGTATATTAAAATATTTCTTCCTTTTTTTGGCATAATAGAACAAAACCCAACTAACACCATCAAAAAAGAAAGGCAAAATAATAAAAGCTGCCAGAAGTAAAACAAAATTAAAAAAAGAAAGCTCAACTCAAATCAATGAAGTGTAAAATTACCTGAATTCTGTGGTTATTCGAATCGGAAACAATAACACGATTCGTATTCGATACAGCAATATAATGTGGATGTTCAAGTTGTCCTTCACCACGACCGCAAGTACCAAATTTACCAACAAATGAACCATCCGATTGGAAAACCTTAAAAGAAAAAGAAAAAACGTTGAATATAACATGTATAGATATTACTTATTCAATACAAATATAAATATGTATGTATAAAATAATCAATTTGGCTAAAGCAACCACATATAAGATAAAAATTTGCAATGTTAACAAATAACTACTACTGTGTATTGTATAGTATTTTATTTTGGGGTTTATTTTTTCAATTTATTTAGTTTTTTTTTTTTTTTTGTTCCTCCATGTTCAAATTAGATTATAAAAGTGAAATCAAATAGGACCACAAAAAGCAAAAAGGCTTATTTAAAGGACAGTAATAGGGAAATGTTTTGTATGTTTATTAAGTAGGACCAACTAATATAGTGTTAATTTTAAATTTGATCTATACTATAGTAAAGTCTACAGTTCAGACTATAGTCTTGTCTGTAGTCCAGACTATGGTTTTGTCTATAGTCCAGGCTATAGTCTTGTATATAGTCCATACTATAGTCTTGTATATAGTCCATACTATAGTTTTGTCTATAGTCCAAACTATAGTCTTGTCTATAATCCAGACTATAGTCTTGTCTATAGTCCAGACTATAGTCTTGTCTATAGTCCAGACTATAGCCTTGTCTATAGTCCAGACTATAGCCTTGTCTATAGTCCAGACTATAGCCTTGTCTATAGTCCAGACTATAGCCTTGTCTATAGTCCAGACTATAGTCTTGTCTATAGTCCAGACTATAGTCTTGTCTATAGTTCAGACTATAGTCTTATCTATAGTCCAGACTATAGTCTTGTCTATAATCCAGACTATAGTATTGTCTATAATCCAGACTATAGTCTTGTCTATAGTCCAGACTATAGTCTTGTCTATAGTCCAGACTATAGTCTTGTCTATAGTCCAGACTATAGTCTTGTCTATAGTCCAGACTATAGTCTTGTCTATAGTCCAGACTATAGTCTTGTCTATAGTCCAGACTATAGTCTTGTCTATAGTCCAGACTATAGGCTTGTCTATAGTCCAGACTATAGTCTTGTCTATAGTCCAGACTATAGTATTGTCTATAATCCAGACTATAGTCTTGTCTATAGTCCAGACTATAGTCTTGTCTATAGTCCAGACTATAGTCTTGTCTATAGTCCAGACTATAGTCTTGTCTATAGTCCAGACTATAGTCTTGTCTATAGTCCAGACTATAGCCTTGTCTATAGTCCAGACTATAGTCTTGTCTACAGTCCAGACTATATTCTTATCTATAATCCAGACTATAGTCTTGTCAATAGTCCAGATTATTGTCTTGTCTACAGTCTAGTCTATAGTCTTGTCTATAGTCTTGTCTATAGTCCAGACTATAGTCTTGTCTATTGTCCAGACTATAGTCTTGTCTATTGTCCAGACTATAGTATTGTCTATTGTCCAGACTATAGTCTTGTCTATAGTCCAGCCTATAGTCTTGTCTATAGCCCAGACTATAGTTTTGTCTATAGTCCAGATTATAGTCTTATTTATTTTCCAGACTATAGTCTTATCTATTTTCCAGACTTTAGTCTTATCTATAGTCCAGACTATAGTCTTGTCTATAGGCCAGACTATAGTCTTGTCTATAGTCCAGACTATAGTCTTGTCTATAGTCCAGACTATAGTCTTGTCTATAGTCCAGACTATAGTCTTGTCTATAGTCCAGACTATAGTCTTGTCTATAGTCCAGACTATAGTCTTGTCTATAGTCCAGACTATAGTCTTGTATATAGTCCAGACTATAGTCTTGTCTATAGTCCAGACTATAGTCTTGTCTATAGTCCAGACTATAGTCTTGTCTATAGTCCAGACTATAGTATTGTCTATAGTCCAGTCAATAGTCCAGACTATGATCTAGTATATAGTAAAAACTATATTCTAGCCTAGTCTGTAGTTTAGTTTATAGTCAATTCTATAGTCTGACCTATAGTCAAGGCTATAATATAATATTTTTAAGCGAATTTTAAGGGATTGTCACAGTATTAGATTATTCCATTGTCATACAATTACTAAAGGAAGTCTTTATAATTTCTGTCAAGCCTAATCATTTACATTCATTTGTTCTGACTATATCGACATCGACCAAGCAGCTTAAGACAATTAATGGCAAATATTTGCATAATCATTTTGATACACAATCAGCATTATTCCATTACAATTCAATTAAAAATTTTGCAAATATTTGTCAGCACGATTTGCAATGTCCACATGTCCACGTATATACATATGTATTATATGTATGTATATATATTTATGTATTTAAGCAATTTACATTTACATGATTTTAATAGAAATATTTTGTTGAATCAAAGATTGAGATGATAAATATCGATGATAATTAATTTTGAAATATATTGACACCTGTACAAAACACATTGGCATATATACTACAATATTAGGGGTATAACAAAAGTTTGTTCTTAGTATCACTAATTCCCTTAATAGGGCTTTAAAAAATCGAATGTTCGAAAGACTGTCAACAAAAGCATTTAATAGAAATAACAATAAAAGCTAAGGAAGTTATTGCCCTAATGTACTCACTCAATGCACCAATATCATATTAAGAACTTACATACATATATATACTATATATTTTTTTAGTCCAATTAACTTACCTGTACTCTGTGGTTTTCTTTGTCACACACATATATGAAGCCCAATGCATCTGTGGTCACACCCCATGGATAATTAAATTTACCATCTGCGGTACCTTGTGAACCGAATGCCCGCAGAAAACGTCCTTGCGGATCAAGAACTTGTATGCGATGATTGTATCTATTATAATTTGATAAATATAAATGATTAATTAAAAATTTTACAAATGACAAAACGCGATTATAGAACTAATTAATGAATTTTATTGGAAATTCAAGTTTACTACGTTGTACAAAATAGGAAAAGAACGGGTTGGATACTTTAAAATCTTAATTTGAAAAATACCTACTAATCAATATAGTCTATAGTCAAGAATACATTCAAGTCTATGGTCCAGGCTATTGTTTCCTATAGCAAGACTATCGTGTGTTGTATAGTCTAGACAACTATCTAGTCTACACACCAGACTATAGTATTTTGTATATAGTTCCGACAATAGTCTAGTCTATAGTCTAGTCTATAGTCTAGTCTATAGTCTAGTCTATAGTCTAGTCTATAGTCTAGTCTATAGTCTAGTCTATAGTCTAGTCTATAGTCTAGTCTATAGTCTAGTCTATAGTCTAGTCTATAGTCTAGTCTATAGTCTAGTCTATAGTCTAGTCTATAGTCTAGTCTATAGTCTAGTCTATAGTCTAGTCTAGTCTAGTCTATAGTCTAGTCTATAGTCTAGTCTATAGTCTAGTCTATAGTCTAGTCTATAGTCTAGTCTATAGTCTAGTCTATAGTCTAGTCTATAGTCTAGTCTATAGTCTAGTCTATAGTCTAGTCTATAGTCTAGTCTATAGTCTAGTCTATAGTCTAGTTCTATAGTCTAGTCTATAGTCTAGTCTATAGTCTGTCTATAGTCTAGTCTATAGTCTAGTCTATAGTCTAGTCTATAGTCTAGTCTATAGTCTAGTCTATAGTCTAGTCTATAGTCTAGTCTATAGTCTAGTCTATAGTCTAGTCTATAGTCTAGTCTATAGTCTAGTCTATAGTCTAGTCTATAGTCTAGTCTATAGTCTAGTCTATAGTCTAGTCTATAGTCTAGTCTATAGTCTAGTCTATAGTCTAGTCTATAGTCTAGTCTATAGTCTAGTCTATAGTCTAGTCTATAGTCTAGTCTATAGTCTAGTCTATAGTCTAGTCTATAGTCTAGTCTATAGTCTAGTCTATAGTCTAGTCTATAGTCTAGTCTATAGTCTAGTCTATAGTCTAGTCTATAGTCTAGTCTATAGTCTAGTCTATAGTCTAGTCTATAGTCTAGTCTATAGTCTAGTCTATAGTCTAGTCTATAGTCTAGTCTATAGTCTAGTCTATAGTCTAGTCTATAGTCTAGTCTATAGTCTAGTCTATAGTCTAGTCTATAGTCTAGTCTATAGTCTAGTCTATAGTCTAGTCTATAGTCTAGTCTATAGTCTAGTCTATAGTCTAGTCTATAGTCTAGTCTATAGTCTAGTCTATAGTCTAGTCTATAGTCTAGTCTATAGTCTAGTAGTCTAGTCTATAGTCTAGTCTATAGTCTAGTCTATAGCCTAGTCTATAGTCTAGTCTATAGCCTAGTCTGTAGTCTAGTCTATAGTCTAGTCTATAGTCTAGTCTATAGTCTAGTCTATAGTCTAGTCTATAGTCTAGTCTATAGTCTAGTCTATAGTCTAGTCTATAGTCTAGTCTATAGTCTAGTCTATAGTCTAGTCTATAGTCATGTCTATAGTCATGTCTATAGTCAGGTCTATAGTCAGGTCTATATTCTAGTCTAGTCTATAGTCTAGTCTATAGTCTAGTCTTTAGTCTATAATCAGGTCTATAGTCTAGTTTATATAGACTAGTCTGCAGTCCAGTCTATAGCCCAGATAAAAGTCCAAAGTATTTGTGTATGTAGTCCAGACTACAGTGAATATTTTTATTTAATTGAATATTAAGGGATATGTTGAAATTTTAATTTCAATGTGTATTTCTGCTGAATTTGTTTAACGCCCTATGTCTGACCTTACATGACCTTATCGTAAATGTCTTTTCGATTATTGACACTTATTAATTCTTAATTATCTTTTTTCTTCTACTTATATCATTAATTATACTTTGCATCAGTTTACAAATATTCATTGCAAAAAAAGAAAGAAAAGCAAAAACTTCATTAATTTATTATGTCAATTGAAAAGTTATTTTTAAAATTTCTTAAGAATTTATTATCCCTTTTATAAGAACGTGGATCAAAAATCAATTGTAGGCTCAATAGCAACGCCAATGATGAATACATTAATAATTAAATTAATTCATTTACCATTAAAGTGGCAGACACATTATTGCAATCAACTTTTGACCTTTAACAATTGTTTAGTAGGTGGGCTCGCAAAAAGGGAGGTTGTTAAATATGAAATTTTGCCAGATTTTAAGTAAGAATTTTAGTAAATGCAGAATTCTAATAATTGCTGTGGTCATACGATATCTAGGAACAAATATTTGTTAATTGCTTTTACATAAGTTTAAAATTTCCTGTCAAAATCTGCTTCAAATTCTTGTGAAATATATCATAAGCAATATTTCATTGTTAGTTTTAAAGACTCAACCCAATTACTCATGTTACCAAATCTATTTATTTATTTCCTCCTATTAGCACCCCCTTAAAAAGCAATGTATTTATGTATATTGAAAACACTTAGACGATTTGATAAATATCAAATTCAAAATATACACAACAATAATGAGAAAAACCCCATTCATTTACCATCGGTTGTTGTAATTAAACTTCTCATTAACAACAACCATTATCCGCTTAGCATTTCCAATTAGATGTTAGAAGTTTGAAAATACAAAACAACAAAAACTTTCATTACATACCATAACACACACAATCATAATGGATGAAAAAAAAGTATTATTTTCGGTATGCTCGTAAATAATGTGCCCTACAGATCTTTTGGTGAAAGTATAAGGAAAGGATAAAACGTATAGGTCAATAATGGACAGTTTCTTAAGGAACCTAAAAGATACTTTGTTAGAGATAATGTTATGGACTAAAAGATTTGAATGCTCGGACCGTATTGTACTCCTCCAACTATAGGGTATAACCAGTTGCCACTATCCAGCAAACATTACTTCTTAAACTCATATTTATTGTCTATCTATAGTCTAGGAATTAGTCTATGGATTAGCCTGTCGACTAATATATTGACTAATTTGTGGACTATTCTATGTATTACTCTATGTATTAGCCTATGGATTAGTATATGTATTAGCCTATGTATTAGTCTTTGTGTTAGTCTAATTACTAATCTATGTACTAATCTATGGAGTGGTCTATGGACTCCTCGATCGATTTGTTTATGGACTTGTCTATAGACTAAACTATGGACTAATCTATAGAACAGTCTATTATGTAGTCTATAGACCAGGCTAGTCCATGGGCTAGTCAACGAACTAAGCTATAGGCTAGTCTATGGACTATACTATGAACTAATCTATGGACTATTCTATGGATTGTTCTAAGAACTAGTCTATGAACAAATCTACGGAAAAGTCTATGGACTCGTCTATGAAATAGTATATGAACTAGTCTATGGATTAGTTTATGGATTAAGTTATGGATTGGTCGATGTATTTATCTATGAATTAGTTTATGGACTCGTCGATCTACTAGTTTATGGACTTATCAATGGAGTATCTATAGACTAAACTATGGATTAATCTATAGCTTATATTATAGTCTAGTCTATGGGCTAGTCTATAGACTAGTCTATGGACTATGAATTAGTCTATGGACTCGTCGATCCACTAGTTTATGGACTTATCTGTGGACTAATCTATGGACTAAATTATGGATTAATCAATAGCATAAATTATAGTCTAGTCTATGGACTAATCTATGGGCTAGTCTATTGACTAGTCTATGGACTAGTCTGTGTACTAGTCGATGGACTAGTTTATGGATTAATCTATGGGTTATAATATTAATCGATGGATTATTATTATATCTACATTATGACCAAGACTATATACCAATCCATATAAGGACTGGTCTGTGAACTTGTCTATCGACTAGTTGTTGACTCGTCTATGGTCTATTGACTATGTAATCTATTTACTACTCAATTGCCCTAATCCACAAACAAGTCTAGGAATTAGATGACATTTCTAACTGAACAGAAGCTATAGACTTAATTTTTCAAGCATTTGTCTTTATGTTTGTTGGGTTATTTCAATACACATACAGTATGTATGTACATTACTTTGTATCGATTCCCCAAGTACAACATAGTAAGAGAACTTGCTCCAGCTAATATATTCCTTTTGCCTTTAAGTCTTCTTTTTGTTTAATACAATATTGAATGTTTAGTAATTTCTGTATTTGTTTGGTTACTTTTCTCTTTGTGCTAAACTATTCATACCAACTTTTAAACAAATGTAATTTAATTAAAAACTTTAATGGATTTTTCTACTGAACTTCCAACATACATACTTACATACTAATGAAATTAATGGGATTTCATTTGAATTTGTTTACACTCACCGATCTGCTATTATATATTGTCCAATACGATTGACCGCTACACCGGCCAAACAATCAAATTCGCCTTCACCATTGCCATATTCACCAAACTGCTTAACGAAGATGCCATTCGAATCGAATACTTGGACGCGATGATTCGACGAGTCGGCGACGACAATGCTATTATCCGGCCCAACGGCTAAGCCGCGTGGCCAGGTAAAAGAACCGGGTTCGCTCCCCCGGCCCCCCAATTGGAACAGCTGTTGACGCTTGCGCAGGTACAATTGCCTAGGGGAAGTACCTGCCACTCCGGTTATACCGTGAGCTGCTGCTGCTACCGTAGGGGAGGTAGGGGAGCCTAGCCCGTTTTTTGAACCGTCATCATCCGATGAACCAAGTTCACTGACCTGCCTTAGAGGCAGACCCAGGCTAAGGCGTCGTGACACATCACTGGCAACGTGGCTACGACTACTGCCGCTGCCACTTGCACCATGACTCGATGTAGATGGCAGGGCCGAAGAAGTGCTACTGCTGCCGAGACCGTCACGTCCACTACCCGAAGGTGTATCTTTAGAGCTCTTATTGCCATATTTGTTCTTCAAATAACGGGCCCAAGAGCTTAAAGCTTCACCATCCTTGCTGTCGTTGTTGGCCAGCGAAGATGTACCAGCACCGCTGCGCGATGATGTGCGATCAATGATGGGAGAGCTGTCACGTGATTTGAGAGCATGTGATGAACGACTGCGTGCTAAATCGGAACCACCATAGCCGCTATATCTGTTGGATACGGGAGAAAACAGATTTTGTGATTAATTTGTAATGCTTTAGAAGAATTTTGGTGTTAAAAAGTTAAATTAAATGTGTGTGTTTGGATTTATTATAAAGTTTAAAATATTCCTTTAGAGAAAATATTTATTAATTTTCGATTTATAGAAAATGTGTAAAAAATAGTAAATTTTTAAAAAATTTTTGATTATTATTTCATTTTTAATTATTATTTCATAAATATTTCTCTAACGAAGATTTTTAGCAAATTTTTTTAGAATTTTTTAATAAATAATTACTTTTTGGAAAATTTTTTTCAGAAAAATTTCAATAAATTTAAGAAAATTTTTAATAAATTTTCCATTTCTAGAAAAATTTTGAAAAATTTTCCATTTTTAAAAAATTTAAAAAAAAAAATTTTTTCCAAAAAAAAAAATTCGAAAACTTTGTAAAAATTCTCAATAAATTCGCGACTTAAAAATTTTCATTAAATTTTAGATTTTAAGATTTCAATAAAATTTTAAATAAATTTTTCATTTTCAGAAAAATGTCAATAAATTTTCAGTTTTAGTAACTAACTAACTAACTAACTAACTAACTAACTAACTAACTAACTAACTACTAACTAACTAACTAACTAACTAACTAACTAACTAACTAACTAACTAACTAACTAACTAACTACTAACTAACTAACTAACTAACTAATAACTAACTAACTAACTAACTAACTAACTAACTACTACTAACTAACTAACTAACTAACTAACTAACTACTAACTAACTAACTAACTAACTAACTAACTAACTACTAACTAACTAACTAACTAACTAACTAACGAACTACTAAATCTAACTAACTAACTAACTAACTAACTACTAACTACTAACTAACTAACTAACTACTAACTAACTAACTACTAACTAACTAACTAACTACTAACTATAACTAACTAACTAACTAACTACTAACTAACTAACTAACTAACTAACTAACTAACTAACTAACTAACTAACTAACTAACTAACTAACTAACTAACTAACTAACTAACTAACTAACTAACTACTAACTAACTAACTAACTACTAACTAACTAACTAACTAACTAACTAACTAACTAACTACTAACTAACTACTAACTAACTAATACTAACTAACTACTAACGAACTAACTAACTAACACTAACTAACTAACTACTAACTAACTAACTAACTAACTAACTACTAAAACTAACTAACTACTAACTACTAACTAACTACAACTAACTACTAACTACTAACTACTACTAACTAACTAACTAACTAACTAACTAACTAACTACTAACTACTAACTAACTAACTACTAACTAACTAACTAACTAACTAACTACTAACTAACTAACTACTAACTAACTAACTAACTAACTAACTAACTAACTAACTACTAACTAACTAACTAACTAACTAACTAACTACTAACTAACTAACTAACTAACTAACTAACTAACTAACTAACTAACTAACTAACTACTAACTAACTAACTAACTAACTAACTAACTAACTAACTAACTAACTAACTAACTACTAACTACTAACTAACTAACTAACTAACTAACTAACTAACTAACTAACTAACTAACTACTAACTACTAACTAACTAACTAACTAACTAACTACTAACTAACTAACTACTACTAACTAACTAACTAACTAACTAACTACTAACTAACTAACTACTAACTACTAACTAAACTAACTAACTAACTACTAACTAACGAACTAACTACTACTAACTCTAACTAACTAACTACTAACTAACTAACTAACTAACTACTACTAACTAACTAACTAACTAACTAACTAACTAACTAACTAAACTAACTAACTACTAACTAACTAACTAACTACTAACTCTAACTAACTAACTAACTGACTAACTAACTAACTAACTAATTAATGAACGTTTCAATGTGTCCAATTTCTTATTAAAACTTTAAAATTTATTGAGAATACTAATTTAAAGAAATTTTTATTAAAATTTCATCAATTCGAAAATTTACGACCACTTTTCCATTAATCTGTCCTTTTTAGAGAAAATTTGCAAATTAATACTTTTTACAGAAAATTTTAGATTTTTTAATTTTATAGAAAACTTTGTCTCTATAACTCTCATAATAAATCCATAAACACACTTGATATTTTCTTTTGAAAACGTTATTATTAAATCTTAAGAAAAAACTGATTAATTTGTTGATGGGTAAATACTTGCATTAACGTCAGATTAAAAGAAATATAAATTATTGTCTAATTTTTAACCAAATTAAAAGGAAATTAAAAAAAATAATTTTGTTAAATTAAAAGAAAACCATATTAATGAGATAATGAAAATTGAACCAAAAAAACGCGAATTTCAAATGAAATATATTATTAAATGAATAAAACAGAGAGAGAAAAATATAGTAATAATTAATTTCGAAATGATAAACAGAAAACGCACTTAATGGCCAGTGAAAACAAAAGAAAATATAAAAACAATAATTAAAGAAATGCAAAATGAAAATGATTTATTCTGTACAAAAATTAAATGAGAAAGAAAAATATTAAAATTAATAATTTTAATATACGAAACATCAAATAGAAATAAATGAGGCGCCTTTACACTAGACAAATTTTGCGACGAAAACAAAAAAAGTTTAAAACGAGGGAAACTAATTGTTTTTTTTTAACAAAGAAAGCGTTTCTGTAGGCGCGCATTTAGAACGAAAAATAAAATGGTTATGACAAATAAACACACGAAAACCGATTAAATAAAATTTTATACAAAAAATTTAGTTGTTTTTGTTTGTATTTACAGCAAATACCCAATAGTTTAAAGATAACTAAATAACTAAAAACCTATAAAAAAAAAATAATAATTATGAAATTTACGAATTTTTTCTCAGTTTTTTTTTCTTCACATAATTTTGGTTTTTTTTTTCTCAAGAAATTTAAAAAAACAAAAAGTTAAACGTTTTTGTGTTAATCTCGCACCTTGAAGCTAAATAAGCAGATGGTGATGCCGTTGTTGGCGACACGGGCTCATCCAAATCATCATCATCGTTGCCAAATTGATGCGAGGAGCGACTACGTGCCAAACGATTGCGACGCTCCTTCATCGCTAAGTAACGTGAACGTCCGGTGCCATAACGTGAATCCGAATCATCGCCGGTGCCATTGGCATCCTCATCGAAAGAGGCATTTGGCGTGTTGGATAGGGATGGTTGCGATACTATGGCGCTGCTCTTGCTTTTATTTAGAAAGCGGCTTGTGTAGCTGGAATTATTTGGTTTTTTTTTTGTTTTTGTCTTTACAATATTGTTTTTCTACTTTATTTAATAATATTTTTTTTTAATTATAAATTTATAAAATAAACAACAAGCAAAACAGGTTTTTCTACAGTTTTATTTTAGAGCCAAATAAAGAATAATTTTGCTTTTTTTTGTATATTTCTTCATTCAATTTAAATTTTGTAAATTTAGTTTTAATATAGAACACATAGAAAATGAAGACTACAGTAGAAACATTTAATAAAAAAACACACAAATAAAGCTTAGTATGAGATAGTTTTGTTGTTAGTGTTAACAGGGAATAAACAGAAACAAACAAGTTAATTAAAGTTTTGTTTTTTAAAAAAACACCATGAGAATTTGAAGAAAATAAACAAAAATAATATTCAGCAAAATTTCTATACGAGATAATAAGAATAAGGAAATAAAAATATATTATGCGTTTAAAAAAATAACTAGAACTATAGTCGCGTCTGACCATCCATATGATACCCTACACTAATCATAAGTACTTTGCATTCTTACAATAAGAGATTATTATGTTTAGATGGACGGACAGACAGACAGACGGACAGACAGACAGACAGACAGACAGACAGACAGACAGACAGACAGACAGACAGACAGACAGACGGACGGACGGACGTACTGAGATCGATAAATCAATTCAGACAGACGGACAGACAGACAGACAGACAGACAGACAGACAGACAGACAGACAGACAGACAGACAGACAGACAGACAGACAGACAGACAGACAGACAGACAGACAGACAGACAGACAGACAGACAGGACGGACGGACGGACGGACTGAGATCGATAATGCAATTCAATACCTATGACCTGACGCTCCGTAGGTAGGGGAGTCCAGCTCGTTTTGTGAACTGTCATCATCCGATAAAACAAATTCACTGAGCTGTTTCAAGAGCAGACCCAGGCTAAGACGTCGATACGCATCACTGGCAACATCGTTACTATCATTATTGGCTAGAAAAGTCATACCAGCACTACTGCGCGATAATATGTGATGGGTGTTGGGAGAGCTAACGCTGCATGCCAAACCCGAATCACCATAGCCTCTAGACAGACAGACAGACAGACAGACAGACATATGTATAGACGGACAGACAGACGGATAGAAGCAAACATATAGTTGTAACGATCAGGGTTTTAGGGCTCTGCAAAGTTTTCCTTTTTAATCGTTTCTTTATTTGTTTTATTTTGCAATATTTTTTGAAACAAAAAGTTTTGCTATTTCAAAGGGGGAGAAAAAAAGTACCAAAAAGGGAAAAATGTTAAAAATGTCATTGATTCAAACTTTTCGAACCAATTTTTATAAAATGTTAAAATTTATTCAGTTTACTTACATAAACTATTGGTGTATAATTTAGAATTCGGATGCTAAGGCTTACAAAGGACCAAATTCGACTAAATATGTAGTTTAGTACTTTTTGAAAACATAGTTATTCCAAATCAATGCAGTTGAAATATCTTTTGAGTTTTATCAATAATAAACACATTTAAACAGAGCATTTTGAGAATTCAGTCATCGAAAAAACTCTGTTCCTGGGAGAAAAAGTAAGGAATGGTACTTTTTTATTAGCACTTTTCACAAACGAAGAATTTATTCAACTATTTCATTAAGAAAAATAATATTTAACCTCTATGGACCTGATGGAATAAGAAACTATCAGGGGGATTTGTTTTGATAATTTTTGTTTATGAAATGGTACTTTTTAAAATTTCTATAAAATTAAAGCTGAAAACATAAAACTTAACATGACTGAATGAGAATCTATGTATAAGAGGTGATTCTTTGATTATTTTTGAATGTTCACTGAAGCAAACGAGATTTGATAAAAGAGAACTTTATGTTACTTTTTCGTCCCTAATATGGTACTTTGTATACCTTACATCACTTTAGTGGGGTGGTTATATTGGGTTTGTGCTGATGTTTGTAACACACAAAAATATTCCTCCTATATCCTCCTAAAGTATACGAATCGGCTTAGAATAATTTTCTGAGGCGATTGCGATATGTCCCTCTGTCTGTTGAAATCAATTTTTTAAGTTATCCCAACTTTGGGGTACACTTACTGTCCGTAACCTTTAATCTGTGTTAGCACAATTAATAGCCTCCTAAGGACCCTGATAAAGGACTTAGAACTGTCTGCAATGCAGAAGATATCGTAATAATTTTAAAGATAAAGGATCCAAATTACTTGTGTAGAAGAGCCGAGGAGGCTCTGAATACGGCCTTGAACTGGGCTCAACCGAGAGGCCTCAATGTTAACCCGCCGAGGACGGAAGAAGATAAAAATTTCTACTTATACTTTCTGGGCAAGAAGATACCGGTGACAGACAAAGTTAAGTACTTGGGTATAATCCTGGAAATTAAAGTGGTGACACCACATAGAGTATAGGATCAACAAGGCACATCGGTGCTGGGCGATATGTAGGAGATCTGTTGGCATGAAATGGGGTCTTAGTCCTACTATGACAAATTGACTTTATAAAAGTGTAATTCTAGTTTATGCTTCAATAATCTGGTGGAATGCTTTGGACAAAATGTGTAATATCAAACTACTACAGGGAGTTCAGCGTACATGCTGCTTGGGTGTAAGTGGTGCCCCATGTGAAACATATTTCAGATATGAGGCGGCACTTACAGCCGAACGGCTCTTTATTTTAGGCGAACTGGCCAAAAGTGGTTATAGGCATAGCATCAATGTATACTGGACACATTGGTAGGTTATACGCAATCATCGCATGTGCCTGATCGCATACAAGACTAGAATATGTCGGAAATTTTGAAACGCTGATTACAGATAGAATGTCTTGGTCAAGCGGGTTTCTATATTGAAGAACCAGAAACAGAAATATACCACCGTTTATATAATCACAACACAAACTTCCAGTTAGAAGTCCGAGTAATAATGGATGATGTAAATTGGATTAAAATAAATATGGCGCCCACAGGTGATACAATTAAATCTAATATCCTATTGGATTGTAAGAAAGCTTTAACTGAATATTCTCCCAGAGTTAAGATTTACATCATATGGGTACCAGACCACTCGGGAGTAGTCGTCAACGAAAGGTCGAAATTATGTGATATTATTCCGGAAAAAACATTCCTGACTAACACTGATTCTTTGGATTTGATGCAGTATACATCTTCCTATCAACCTAACTTACTGGCCCTATTCAAACTACGAAACTTTGCAACAGTATAAGTGAGTAGTGTTATTAAGATATTTCCATTAGTTCATGGATTTTGTAAAGATTTAGATAGTTATTTACCTATATAGTTTCTCTTTTAGTAGATGACTTTAAATATTACCCAAAATATTTGTTTAACTTTAATACTTAATATGTTAAATATATATTTCTTAAACAAAATAACACGCTTTCTTATAAGTCACAAAATAATACCATTCTTTACATTTTACAAAATTGTTGCTTTTGTCTGCTTAGAAGATTATAATTTAAGCTACTTAGGACAAAATGAACGCCAGAACGAATGTGACTAAAAAGTAAAACTTTTCAGTTTTTTATTTTTTCAACTTTGATTTTTGGTCATAATTTTTTTTAAAGCCCTCTTCTATGTATATATGCCACTAACATTAAATTATAAAAACAAGGCGTTAAAGTGTTTAACTATAAACCACAAATTTGTTAGGACAATGTCTCTAATACCCTAAAGTAAGAAGACTTAGCTATGGCCGACCGATTTAAAACTATTGCAAAGGGTGCGCATCATGCCATGATCCCCACACCAATCTGATACAACTTAAAGGCTCATAAATAGGAGTAATCAAAATAAATATTTTCTCAAATTCGTTTTAAGAAACCAGAAATTATAGAATTGCATTTCATTTAATTTAGCATCCATATAAATTTAAATTTCCCCTTCTTTATTTATATTCCTTAATTAATTGTCTTCAATAAACACACACACAAAAACCCCATAATTAAAATCAAACTAAATTTTGACAATAAAATCCTATTAAAAATCTTAAATTAAATAAATAAATTGATTTCAAACACTTTAAATCTGAAGGACATCTACAAATAAACTAAATCAAATACTACTCTCTTTGTATTCTATTATAAGGTATCAAATGACCAATTTATATTAAATCTTAATTTGATATTAAATCTCTGTTTACTTTCTAAGATTACTTTTTGTGTGTGTGTATTAACTATCTTTAAGAACCCAGGAATTAAGTAGAGAAGAATTAAATTTACGGCAAAAAAAAAACTTTCTTTTTTTAAAAATCAAAAATAACAGGAAAGAAAAATAACTAAGACTTTTTCTTTTGTCCTCTATTCCAGGACGTTATAAGCAAGCGTATCACATGACAATTGTAAACTATATTAGTGCTACTATTATTAGGGAGGTCTAGCACTTAATACAAAAGTTATAACTGAAAAATTGTATAAAAGATCTTACACTTTCAAAATAAGCATTACATAAAAAACCAAATCGTAAAAGCAACCCCCTTAATATATGTTTATATTAAAGTTTACACTTAAAGAGGAAGCCAGACATAAATTTTAAATTAAAGACAACTAAGAATGTATATCCGACTATATTGTCCCTTATACTAGCCATGAAAATATTTTTAATTTATGTCAGAAGTCTATAGTATAATCACTAGCCTAGTATAGAGTCCTGTCTATGGTCTAGTCTAGTGTACAGTCTAGTCTACAGTCTAGTCTATATTCTGATTTATAGTCTAATTTATAGCCTAACCTACAATCCAGTCTGTAATCGAAACTAGTAGATAACCTAAAGTCTAGTCTATATTCTAGTCTTTAGTCTAGTATATATTCTAGTCTTAAGTCTAGTCTATAGTCTAGTCTAGTCTATAGTCTAGTCTAGTAGTCTAGTCTAGTCTAGTCTATAGTCTAGTCTAGTCTAGTCTAGTCTAGTCTAGTCTATAGTCTAGTCTAGTCTATAGTCTAGTCTAGTCTATA